GAGATAGCAACTGGAGCTGTAACCATAGCCTGACAACTCTGCGGGGCACGGTGTGGCTAAGAAGTCTGTGGAGGTGCACCGCTCCTAAGTCTGGGGCAATCCCTCACCATATGGCATGTGTCACCACACTCAAAACAAGCTCTGGGAGGATGTGGAGGCTGTGACTGGCTCAGGCCAGGTCTGCTGGACTGACCACTGAAAGCACCCCACGTAGGAGGCGCACTAGATACTAGAGGTGCATAATAAGGCTCTTGAGGCCTAGGAGGAGCTGGAATACCACTGGCTGCTGGAAGAGCTGAATGAATGGGGCGACTCATATAACCCCTACCATGACGAACTACAGCTAGAGCACGGGGAAATAATAATGGGCCGACTCTCGATACCTCTTGGCCTCCCTCTCCTCTCTATCCCTTGCATGCATATCCTCCACTCTCCTAGCAATTCTCACCACCTGCTGATAAGAAATATCCATCTCTAACTCACGAGCCATTCTAGACCTGATGCTGGGAATGAGCCCCTCAATAAACCGGCGAACTCTCTCACACTGTAGTAACCAAGGCTGGTGCATGCCTAGCCAAGCTAGTGAAACAAACAGAATACTCTGAGACAGTCATAGCACCCTGGTGCAAATACTCAAACTCTGCGCGCCATGCGTCCCTGAGGCTCTGAGGAACATACTCTCTCAGGAACATATCTGAAAATGAGTCCAAGTCAGGGAAGCTGCCTCATTCGGACTGTCTAACTCATAGGTATGCACCACTCATAGGCGACTCCTCAAAGATGGAAGGTAGTGAAGGAAACCCCGCTTGATCCTAATATACCCATGGTACGGAGGATATGGTAGCACTCATCTAGAAATCCCATAGCATCATCTGATGCTAGACCACTGAATACATGAGGCTTGTACTTCTTAAACCTCTCAAGCCTCAGCTGCTCATCCTCAGAAGCTGATTCCCTGTCCTCGAGCTGATTTGGGACTGCAGGTTATACAGGAATAATCTCTAGGACCTGATCAACATACACTCGTTGCTCAGGAGTGTGGGCAGTGGGAGTCTGTGCTCCTCCCCAGGCCTGAGATATAGCTGTAGCAAGGGGAAGCAACCCTGCCTGAGCCAGAGTGGTGTACATGCTTATGAACTGTGCATGAATCTCCTAGAGAGCTGGAGTAGTAGTAGGAGTAGGCGTATAAGGTTCCTGGACTCCGGCTGGAACTGCTGGTAGAAACTCGGTGGCATCTCGCGCGGGTGCTCTGGCTGTACCATGTGCGCGTCCTCGGCCTCTACCCCGACCTCTGACGGCTCCAGTAGGGGGTACGAGTGTTTGATCATCTCTGGTTGCACGTGTCCTTCACCATCTATGAGAGAATAGAAGACAGAAGTTTAGAATTGTGATATCAAAATCTCGCATGACAAGGAAATCAAATGAAGTGGAATTTTCCTAACAGTTACATAGCCTCTTGTAGATAAGTACAGACGTCTCCGTACCAATCCACGAGACTCTAATAAACTGGCTTGTGATTCATGACTCCTATGAACCTAGAGCTCTGATACCAACTTGTCACGAACCAAGTTCATCCTTCGTGAACTGTCGTGACGGCACCTAGTCTTTACGACTAGGTAAGCCTAAAATTTTTGGAAAAAGAACAAAATGCAGAAAAATAACTAAAAACTGAAGATAAGCAAATATAGAAGCGTTTAAGATGCCGCTCGGCATATACAATATAACTCTCAAACTAAACAACTTCCCAAAACTCGAAATCTCATGAAATCACAAGTTGTTGAATACTACAAGTGTCTAACTCCAGAATGTCTAAACAAAAGTAAATATAGAAGGGCTAATATTATAAGAGAAAATGAAAAGGGACTCATCGGTTGCGGACGTGGCAGATATACCTCAAAGTTTCTGAAGAATCGTCTCGCCTCAAGAGTTGTAGGGCTGAGTCGAAGTACCTGGATCTGCACATGAAAAACATGCGCAGGAAGGGCATGAGTACACCACAGAGGTACTCAGTAAGTACCAAGCCTAACCTCGGTCGAGTAGTGACGAGGTCAAGGCCCTACTGATTATAGCTGAAAAACGAGGTAAAATAGTATAGAATACGACAATATAATTAAATGCTAATAGTATGAAGTAACGCAGGATAATAAGAATAACAACAACTATAACAGAGACAAAATAATCACAAAAGGAATACAGCTCAACATAGAGATAACAACCGGAGATCTCCCAAGATACAGTCCTGTAGTCCCCAAATATAAATATCCAGTGGATCTCCCGGGTGTCGTCCATTAGTCCAATTCATAGTGCGCGGGGATCTACCGGAATCCCCGATTTGTAGTCCCAAATGTATATACCTAGTACTGGGGGAATCTACCGGGTGCAGTCCTGTAGTTCCAATATAAATGTGCAGGGAGATCTACTGGAATACAAATCCATAGTCCCAAAGTAAACAGGCAGGGGGGATCTCCCGGGATACCGTTCCGTAGTCCCAAAGTAGACACGCAACAGCAACACGAAGAATACTCAATTCAATTTAAATTTCACCCCAAGGTAAAACAGGTATTTCTAATCTAGCATGCTGCACATAATCCAAATAAGGCAGTTTGATAAATTAAAGCAATTAAGTTAATTAGACATGCTTTCCTAAGCTAATAGTAGGCTTAAATTTCAAGTCGAATAAACGGGAAAGGAAACACAATTATAGTTACTTAATGAAAACAGGATTTTCAACAATTAGCACAAGTACGCACTTGTCACCTCACGTACATGGCATTTCAAATATCAACAATACCAAATCCTAAGGGGAGTTCCCCCACACAAGGTTAGGCAAGCCACTTACCTCAAACCCGCTCAATCAACTCAATACCACGTTCTTGCCACGAGTATCCGACTCTGAATGGCCCAAATCTATTCAAAGGAATTGCATAATGTAAATATAACTTCAAGTAACTAATTCAACAAATTAATTTGAAGCTAATACGCGAAATTAGGAAAATTTCCCAAAAAGCCTCCCGGACCCACATCTCGGAATCGGGTAGAATTTACAAATTCAGAATCCTCACACTCTCACACGTTCATATATGATGAAATTACTCCAATCCGACCTCAAAATCTTGATCAAAACTCTAAAATTAGGCCTAAGAACCTTTCCAATTTTCCACCCCAAATTCGAATTTAAAGGATGAATTTAAGCAAAGATTCGTGGAAATTAATCAAAACCGAGTAAGAATTACTTACCCAAAATACCTAGGTGAAAATCTCTCTCAAAATTGCCACTCCTGAGCTCCCAAATCAATTTTTCAAGTTTTGAGACTAAACCCTCATTCTGCCCCTTTTCTAAACAGTGGAACATCATCTGCGGCTCTTGGACCGCACCTGCGATCCCGCTTCTGCGGAACTCAAGTCGCATCTGCGACATTTCATTAAAACCCAACTTCCGCACCTGCGGCTCACCTACTACACCTGCGGTCTCGCAGGTGCGTTTGCCTTCTCGCACCTGCGGTTTCTGGAGCTTGTCCTAATCCCGCTTCTGCGGTCACCCAAAATCACCCAGCGTAGCTAAAAGAACTGACATAATTTTATTTCGAGGCCGTCTTCACACTGCTCCGACTATGGTCCAAATTCTAAAGCTTAAACTCTCATTTAGTAACTAAGTATCCCAAAACTCTCCGAAACTCCAAATAAATCCTCCCCACAACTCACAATAGCATAAACAAACACAGGGAATGCAGCTAATAGGGGATCGGGGTGTAAATTCTTAAAATGACTGGCCGGATCGTTACACTATGGGATTAATCCGAAGTCCATGCTTGTTCTTTTCTTTATCGTCTTTATTTTATTTCCTTTATACTTTTTTTTATTAATCAGATCAATTTAATCCACATATTTTTAAATCACGTTTATAAATTCAACTGTATCTTTTTTGCGGGTAGACAATATCAAAAATGTGGGGTAAGTACAATGGCGGCTCTTTGATAAATGAGTATTTAATCATTTATTTAAATAAAAATAAAGGTGACGATGATGCTTGTAGTAAGAACTCTTAATTTTAAAATTTTCCTTATGTTTTAACTTAAACTTTTAAATTATGCAATCTAGGTTCTATTGTTCCTCTCTTGCCTTGATATTTTAATAGTTTGATATTTCAGCATAATTGTATCTCCTTACTTGCCTATTTGGTTCTTGAATCTTTAGTTAGTATTTGCTCGAGCATTGTCAAATTAATTGCATTAGTGATAGCTTTGCCTACTTATTTATATTGTTATCTACCTATTTACATCTTTATTTCAGATATTTCTGTTCTAGTTTTGCACACTTTCTTTGTGACCTTTAGTTGTAGATTATAGCTTCCTTTAGCTCTTATATTGTATTTCTTCACCTATTTTTCTATTCTTTAGTGGTAAATTATAGTTCTTTTAATTCCTTTACTTTATTTCTTCACCTGTTTTTCTATTCTTTAGTTGTAGATTATAGCTCCTTTAGTTCCTTTATTTTATTTCTTCACCTGTTTTTCTGACCTTTAGTTGTAGATTATAGTTCCCATTAGTTCCTTTATTTTATTTCTTCACCTGTTTTTCTGACCTTTAGTTGTAGATTATAGTTCCCATTAGTTCCTTTATTTTATTTCTTCACCTGTTTTGCAACCTTTAGTGGTATATTATATTTCGGTAATTCATTTTATTTTTGTCGCTTGTTTTCGAGATAGTGCTTGCGTAGTGACTCCTAGATTATAGTGGCTTTGGTGAACGATAGTAGGGTAAGGTCTTGTCCTTGGGAGTGTCAGCGCGAGGGAGGGAGTGCGAAGGGTAAGGGGGTAAGAGGGCTAAGGGAGCTACTAGGCTGAGAGTGGCATCTTGGAAAATAGGATCTTTTACTGAAAAATCTGTAGAGTTAGCGAAGATTCTCAAGAAAAAAAAGATTAATATATCTTGTTTACAAGAAACTAGGTGGGTAGGAGATAAGGCACGGGATGTGGTCAATTTCAAACTTTGGTATTCTAGGAGGGTGAGAGGAAGGAGCGAGTAGGTATCTTGGTTGATAAGGACCTCTGTGAACTAGTGGTGGAGGTTAGGAGGGTGAATGGCAGACTGATAACTATTAAAGTAGTTGTTGAAGGTTTTACTTTGAACACAATCAATGCGTACGCAACCGAAGCAGGCTTGGATAAGGAATTCAAGAGGCGTTTCAAGGAGGATTTGGATAAGATGGTGCATGGAATCCCACATACCGAGAAGATTTTCATAGGAGGAGATTTCAACGGTCACATTGGAGTGATGTCTATGGGGTATGATGATGTGCATGGTGGCTTTGGTTTTGGAGATAGAAACAGAGGAGAAACGTCCCTGTTGGACTTTGCTAGAGCATTTGATTTGGTGATAGCAAATTCGAGTTTCCCGAAGAAGAGGGAGTACTTTGTCACCTTTCGGAGTTCGGTGGCCAAGACTCAGATTGACTATTTACTCTGTAGGAAGTCCGATAGAGGTTTTTGTATACAAGGTCATCCTGAGTGAGAACCTCTCGACCCTTCATAGGATCCTAGTCATGGACCTCGAGATCATAAGGATGAGGAGGAAGAGGGCGATGTATAGCCAACATAGGATCAAGTTGGGAGCCTTGACGAAAGCTAAAGTGCAGGATTTGGGGGTCAAGCTGGTGACTATGAGGACTTGGAAGAGTAGTGGGGACGCAAGCACAATGTGGACTACGACAATGCAATGCATTAGGGAATCCGTGGGAGAGGTATTAGGGGTATCAATGGGTTACTCTGGTGGTCACAAGGGAGACCAGTGGTGGAATGGAGAGGTGCAAGGAAAAGTGAAAACCAAGAAAGCAACGTATCTAAAGCTAGTGAAAAGTGTAAACGAGCAAGAGAAGAGGGCGAATATGGAGGATTATAAATTGGCTAAGAAAGAGGCAAAGCTAGCAGTTATGGTGGCTAAGACTGCAACTTTTAGTCATTTGTATGAGGAATTCGAGGGTCGAGGTGGGGATAAGAGATTGTTCAGGTTAGCCAAGGCGCAAGAAAGGAAGGCGCGTGACTTGGACCAAGTGAAGTGCATCAAGGACGAAGAAGGTAGAGTTTTGTTGGATGAGGGGCTTATATGTCGGAGATGGCAGGCCTACTTCCATAGTCTCTTGAACAAGGAAGGGGACAAAAGCATTGTACTGGGTGATTTGGAACTCTCTGGGAGTTGTTGTGACTTTGGGTATTGTAGGTGGGTCAGAGTTGATGAAGTTGAGGGGGCTATACGTAAGATAAGCAGCGGCAAAGCGACTGGGCTGGATGAAATTCCGGTGGAGTTTTAGAAGAGTGCAGACAAGGCAGGGTTGGAGTGGCTCACTAGGTTATTTAATTTCATTTTTATAATGAAGAATATATCCGAAGAGTGGAGGTAGATACGATGGTTCTTGTATACAAGAACAAGGGTGATATCCAAAATAGCAATAACTATCGGGGTATCAAGCTTCTTAGGCATACTATGAAAATCTAGTAGAGAGTGGGGAGCTAAGGGTAAGGAAGTGTGTGCCTATTTCCATGAACCAGTTTGGGCTTATGTCGTGGCGTTCTACTACATAAGCCATCCACCTTATTGGGAGATTGATGGAGCAGTATAAGGACAGAAAGAAGGATTTACATATGGTGTTCATCGACTTAGAAAAGGCATATGATAAAGTTCTGAGGGAGGTTTTATGGAAATGTTTGGAGGCTAGGGGGTACCTGTTGCCTACGTTAGGTTGATTAAGGAAATGTATGATGGTGTAAAGACCCGAGTGAGGATGGTTGGTGGGGACTCTGACCATTTTTCGGTTATGATGGGGTTGCATCAGGGGTCGGCACTCAGCCCTTTTTTGTTTTCTCTGGTGATGGACGTACTGATGCTCCACATCCAAGGGGAGGTGCCATGGTGCATGCTATTTGCAAATAATATTTTATTGACTAACGAGATGCGAGACGGTGTGAACACGCAATTAGAGGTATAGAGGCAGACTCTGGAATCTAAAGGTTTCAAGTTGAGCAGGACCAAGACAAAATACTTGGAGTGTAAGTTCAGTGGTGAGACTCAAGGAGGGAAAGATGAGGTGAGGCAGGACTCGCAGGTTGTCCCTAGGACAGGAGTTTAAAATACCTTGGGTCTATTATTCAGGGGGTGGGGATATTGATGAAGATGTCACACATCGTATTGGGGCGGAATGGATGGAATGGAGACTCGCTTCCGGTGTTTTGTGTGACAAGAAGATGCTACCGAAACTTAAGGGTAAGTTCTACAGAGTGGTGGTCAGATCAACATTGTTGTATGGGATGGAGTGTTGGCCAGTCAAGATCGCTCATGTCCAGAAGATGAAGGTAGCAGAGATGAGGATGTTGCGATGGATATGCGGGCATACCAGGTTAGATAGGATTAGAAATGAGGTTATTCACGACAAGGTGGGTGTGGCCTCTATTGAGGAAACGATGCGAGAAACGCAGCTTAGGTGATTTGGGCATGTGAGGAGGAGGAGCACAGACGGCCTAGTGAGGAAGTGTGAGAGGTTAACACTGGAGGGACTACAGAGAGGTAGAGGTAGGCCAAAGAAGGAGTGAGGAGAGGTGATTAGGCAAGACATGGCGTAGCTTCAGCTGAAAGAGAACATGACCCTTGATAGGAAGATATGGAGGTTGAGGATTAGGGTAGTAGAGTAGGTAGTCTAGAGTGTTCATGACAGTAGTATTGGTACACAGTCTCGCTTTTTGTTGGTAGTAAGTTTTTATGACTAGCCGTTGTTTTCTTTCATTGTTGATTATCATACTATCTTGTTATTTTTATTCTGATTTTATATGGCTTTTTGGTACTGTTCCTTCTTGTTTATATTTTCGTTGATGTAGTGCTTATGCTTTCCTGAACCGAGGGTCTATTGAAAACAACCTCTCTATTCTCACAAGGCAAAGATAAGATTTGCGTACACACTATCCTCCCCAGACCCTACAGTATGGAATAATACTGGGTATATTGTTATTGTTGTTATTTTAGATTAGAAATTAGGAAAGAGTTATTTAATGGAGCTAATTCTTGACGTTGTTATCAAAATCTCTAATGTATACATATTACTAATACTTATCATACAACAATTCACGATCTCTTAATAGTTAGTGCATTATAGAACAAAACACTAATGGTCTGTTTGATTCAGAACAATTGTATTCTGGAATTCTTTTGGAATTATAATCTCATATGCTATATTGGATCAATAATACCAAATTTTTTGTATAAAATTTATATCGAAATTAGCTAATACTAATAGGATAAAAGTTATCCTACATTTTATGTCGAAATTAATATCCTAATTACCATAATCTACATCTACATCTTCTACAATATATTAAAAGCAGGAACCCCTTAATTAAAAGGTTAAATTACAATATTATCCTTCTTATTTATCTAAATATCTCATTTAAAAAAGAAAAACTAACGCTTAGGAACAACCCAAATGAAAAGGCTACAAACGCTGGGAACACTTAACAGTGGCCTGCAATGAAGCATCCGAAAAGGAAAATGGCGTCAAAAGATCAAGAGAAATCACTCCGATTGGTATTTCATATTGATGACTTAAAGCAATTGGCGGGGAACTTAACAACAAGTTCTCATGTACCCAACTAACTTCCCTCAATCAAAGCCTTCCAGCCTTCCCAAACCCTTTCCGTAGCAGACATGTCTTGTGCCTTCATCTCTAATCTCACCGAACAAGTGAATTCTATTTTTGATGCGGCTCTTATTAAGATTTTAATTGCTTCCTTCTGACTGATCTGAATATTAGTTTGGAGAATTAAACAATCCAATTGTTACTGAAGGTGTCTATACATGAAGTTACAAAAATTACTGGTATTACTATTATACTGGTGAATATAAAAAGGGGGAATTACGCTCCTTGTCATTTGGCCCAATAGTCCATAAAAAAAGGCTCATATTTGAAGCTCTTACCTAATATGGCTCAGGTTGTACATAATTTGAAAATTATTTTTCACCAGTTAGTCCACCCTATTTAATTATTTTTTTCTTTTCTTTTTCTTCTTCCTCTTTCACGACTTTGCACCCCAAAATTTCTCTATCATTATATATATTCTTCAATTCTCCTTCCAGATTCAAAGTTGATAATCACTATTAAGACGAGAAGAAAAAATACCACTTAAGAGAATTATTATTTTTGGAGTCACCATAAAGGTCATTCGAAACTTCAATTTCAGAAATTGGATTTTTCGATTTTGTTGGTTGTTTGGATTGGGTGTTAGCCCAATTGATTGGGATCGTCAAGGGGAGTTCAAAACTCAAATTTGAAGTGATTTGGAGCAAATTTGAGCTAGATTTGAGTTGAATTTTAGAAGATGCCCAAAGAAAAAGAAGAACCAGTGAAGCTCCATTAATAAGATTTATTTTTATAATAGTGTATAATATTGTATAAGTAATGTATAATAGTGTATAAATACCTCCGATACATTATTTTATACAAGGCTGATACATTATTTACAGGTATTTCGTGGATTTCTCACCTTTCTTCTTCTTCTTCTTCTTCTTCTTCTTCTTCTTCTTCTTCTTCTTCTTCTTCTTCTTCTTCTTCTTCTTCTTCTTCTATACCTATATACATGGTGTATCACTAACATTTTCACTACTGTACTTATACATCTTTATACACTTTTATACAACTATATATATAATATACCTCTTTGTATAAAAGTGTATAATATTATATAAAAGTGTATAAGCATCTCTGGCGAATTTTTTGTAAGATTTTCACTTGCAATTCTTGATTAAAACTATTCCAAATCTTCACTAAATGACTTCAAACTTTGTATACAGTCTACTTAGATTAATTATAATAAGTTCAAACAATACCTTCTCCATATTTTTCACAAAATCATATTCAAAAACTAATAAGATTAGTATTGAAGAAGATGCGATTTTAGATTTCTCGCGTCTGTTTGTGAATTTTCGTAGTTGTGATAGGTATGTAGAAACTTGAGGAGAATGGAAATAATTCACGCTTGAAGATATAGAAAAAAAAACTGGAAAAAAATTAGATCTAAGCTTATTGATATTTGGCTACACATTTGTAAATTTGTAAGTGAGCTAAAATAATGCAAGATCAACTTATGGAGTGCATTATTATGTAATTTTGTCATATAAAAAATACAGTAAATTTAGAAAAGGTAAAAGTTTTTAATACCAAAAAAATAAATATATAATCTAAGACATTCATAGGTAAATGAATTGAAATCCAATTGTATAAGAGTTTATAATGACAAAACCAAATAAGTAAAAGCATTTCGATTCTCTTTGTAGTTTATAATGAGAGTGTTAATAAAGAATCTTTACTGTTGCAATTAATTCTGATGATAACTATAAATTTAATGACTTGGCATTTTCTAATTACTGTAGACGAAAAATGAGGGAGAAAACAAAACAAAAAAAAAATTGTTGGTCTGAAAGAAGTACCACGTAATCTAATGGTCCATCATTTTTTTGGACTCCCTAATGAA